GGTCCGGTCCGGTCCGGGCGCCGCGGGGTGTGCATCACTTGGTGCGGCCCAAGGCCCAAACTGCGCCCGGAGCTGCTGCTGCTCGGGACTCAACTTTTACTCGCTGCTAAAGTTTCTCCCGTCGCCTTGCTGTTCGCTCTCCCCGGCAGGGCCCAAACCTGATTATCAACCAGCCCGACGAGCTGCTGGAGAGCATGTCCGAGTGGTGCAAGGAGCATCACGGGAAGGTAAAACTCTTGGCCGCACGGTGAGAGTGACGTGTCGCTCGGAGTGAGCTGCGGCTCAGCCTCCTGCGGGGACACAGCTCCTGTGCTGAGCGGCTCCCAGTCGGGGGTAAAGCTTGGCAGGCAGGATCATCCTTAGTTTGTAGGGGGGAGCTCAAGTGTGACATTCTGCCCGAGGTCCCACAAGTGATCCGTGGCACAGTGAGCTGCGCTCAGGGATCTTAGCCTTGGCTCCTTCGGCAGCTCCTCCTGGTGAGCCTGTTCTGTCTTGCATAAAGTAGTACAAACACCATTTCCAAGGAGAAGGGGAAAGTCTGGCTTGAGGGACCAAGTAGGAACAGCATGGGACTGGCGCAGAACAGCCCAGAGTGATGAAATGCAGATCTCTCCCTGCAGGTGTACATCCAGGATTGAACAGGTCATAACTTACTGTAAATTCTAGACTATTATTTTTCCTGTTCCCTCAGCTCTGTCAGCCTTGTGGATTTTTTTACTGAAAGCTTCACTTTTGCAGCAAGAGATTATTTCTAGTTCTTTGGTCCAGCAAAGAAAGGTTCTTCCTTGCCAGCAGCAAGAGAGCAAATGGATTTTCCAATCCCTGGTGATGAATTGAAACTCAAGTTAGTTTTCAATTAAGGGCTGAAGTTTTAAGACACCCATAACCCCCTCCTCCTCCACCCTCTGGCATCTCGCTCTCTCTGGGAAGGATTAGCAAGGGTTTGGAAAATGCATGTTAATTTGCTGTGATGGGTGCTCTTCCCTGCTCCCGTCGAGGATTCCGGCTCGGCGTCAGCGAGCGAGCGAGCTGGAGGTGGGAGCACGTGTCCTCACTGCTCCTGAGGAGCTACTTATTTTTAATTGACTAAGAAAAGAGAAGCAATTAGAATATAGATGAAAATGCAGCCACATAATGAATTTTTTAACCACCACTTGGATCTGTCAAGTAGATTTTTGCGGCACAGTCGTGGAAATATATAGTGTAGCCAGATGGAAATAAATCCCTGAGAACACTTGGAGAGGGTTTGACATTTAACTGTTGGAAAGAAAAGAAGGGAGGAACTTTTCTGATTTATAGGAGTCTTGATAAACACTTGAGGCAGGGTCCTGGTTATTTGTGTTCACTGGTACCTGCTGCTCCCTGCAGGGGAGGTGAGTGCCTCTCCCAGAACAGGGATGGGAAGAGATGCAGTGCTCCCCTGGGTACTTAGTGTGCAGGGGGATAAATGAGGCCTCACGTCTCGGTGATTGAGGAGAACCCTGAGAAAGTGCAGCAGAGAAATAAAAAAAAAAGGGAAAGACAAGATCCCAAACCCCACAGGAAGGTCAGTGCTGCCAGGAGTTTACTTCCCAAGCATGTGGGTCAGGGCTGCTGTGGAGGTGCCTGGGGAGAGGAAAGGCTGGGGGTGTCCCAGAGAGCTGAAACAGAGTTCAGGAGGTGCCTGGGGGCAGATGAGGACAAACAGCCTGCGAAGGGTCGAGTTGAACATGGACATGAGAACTGGAGCATTTCTGCAGTGTTTCTGACTGATGACTTGGCTCTGTTTTGCAGTCTGGCCTTACCAAGGCTGTGAAGGAGAGTAAAATCTCGTTGCAGCAGGCAGAGTACGAGTTCCTGTCCTTCGTACGGCAGCAGACACCGCCGGGGCTGTGTCCTCTTGCAGGTGAAGCATCTTCTCCGTCAGCACAGCCTCATCCCTCCTGCTGTCCCAGGTGTCCTGCTCCTGGAACTGTGCTGAACGTTCACCTATGGTCTTGGGCCAGGAGCTGAGCGAATTACTACCTATGGTCACTTTCGCTTGGCAGAAATCCAGATGTTTGCATAGTTCTTTGAGATTTGTCTGTGTGAAGGGAATTGTGGGAGTGGTAACTGACGAATTACTAGAGGTATTTGTCCTTAAACCCCGTGTGATCCTGCAATGAAAATCTGACAAACCTTTGCAATCATATTTACTAGAAAATGGGATAAAGGAGCTGCTGGTGAACGGCTGTTCCTCCGCTGTGATCTCCCCAGCTCGCTGCGCCCGACGCGCCGTGTCGCTCTGTAATGCCTTTGAAGAGACATCTTGTTTTGTGTCTTTGCAGGTAACTCTGTTCATGCAGATAAGAAGTTCCTTGACAAATACATGCCGCAGTTCATGAGGCACCTTCATTACAGGATCATTGATGTGAGCACTGTCAAGGAACTTTGCAGGTAAGTGTTCCCCAATTAGGTGGTTTGAAGGGTACCCGGGGATGCCTGCTCGTGGTGCTGGAGCTCTGCAGCTCGTGGTGCTGCGACGTCTCTGGGTGTCAGAATCCTTTCTCCAACCTGCAGCAGCCACCAGACATGGCTTTGAGTCCCCGTTTCTGTTTCAAGTGGCAGTTTTTCCCCTTGCAGGCGCTGGTATCCAGAGGAGTACGAGTTTGCACCAAAGAAAGCTGCTTCTCACAGGTGAGCTCTGTGCTGCTGGCTGTGGCAGGGCAGGAACTTGGCTCTTCCCAGGCAGGGGCTCCCTGTGCAGCCCAGCGTTCTGCAGCAGGCAGAGTCTGTGTCCTTCTGCTCTCTGCAGTTGTGTGTCCTGTCCAAAGCCTGGATGGTGTAGGGGAAGGAATTCTTAGAGAGCCAGAAGTTTCTCTATCCCTTCTGATTCACTGTTTGCTCTTGGAGGTGCTTTCTGCCTTCTCAGGCATCGCAGTAAGGAATGGCACACAGTCGTGTAACAGGAGGTTTGTCTGCCCTTGTTTGGGGCAGAGTTGGTCACAGAGACACTAGAACTGGAGAATGCAGACGGGGAGGTGGGAGTCCTGCTCCTGGCTGGTTCCTGAGCGCGGAATGTGCCAGAGGCACAGTGGGAAGCAGCCAGGGAACCTTCGTGCTCTGCTCTGGAAGTTCCTGGCCGTGTCAGGATCCAGGTCTGGCTGGAGGTGTACACAGGTGCTTTGAAACCCTCCTGAATTCTCTTTCAGAGCACTCGATGACATCAGGGAAAGCATCAAAGAACTCCAGTTCTACAGAGAGCGAATCTTCAAGAGGAAAACGGATGAGAAGAAAAGGAAACTGATAGAGAATGGGGAGAGCGACAAAGCTGCCAGCTGATTCCCCCAGCCGCGCCGTCCCGTAGCACACTCTAGATGCGTCTCCTGGTTCTTTTCTGTTTGCCAGTCTCTGGGAAGCTGCACCCTGGGTTACCTTGTTTCTTACCAGCTGTTCAATGCAGACGGAAGCCTGAGCTGCTGCTGCTTTTCAGTTTGAGCAGGGATTGTCATGTGGGGCCTCAGCAGCACCTGTGGTTGTATGCTCTGGGTAGAACACGCTGTTTGATACTCCTTGCACCTCATTCTAGGTGCAGTGTTTCACGACACAATAAAACCAGGTCTGTTGAAAGATGATGGGTTTGGACAGCCTTTCTATTGTGCTCACCATGCTGGCAGGGGAACCAGCTGCTCCTGGGTTTGTGAGGGAAAACACACTGGGAAAGAACAGTCATTCATGGGAATGGTGTGGGTGACTGTGCCTTCATGGGCATTCAACAAGAGTGGTTTGTTCAGCCTGGATAGGAGGAGACTGACAGGACACTCATCACCGTCTGCAGCTTTTTCACGAGGGTCCCCTCATGCTCAGGATATTCCATCAGTCTGTGGGTCCTTATGGACAAAGCAGCTGCATCAGCCTTTAATCTTCACTTTGAAGGTACCTGCCCTAAAACATCTCTGTTCTCACAGCACACTACTGAGACTAGGAACTACAAAAAGCTGCTTCCATGACCCAGACTGCCCCGTGGCTGGGTTTCCGGGGGAAGCGTGACTGCTCTTCAGATGTGGAGTCTGGGAAAAAGGAAGTGTAAAAGGAATGTGTGTCAGGAGAGGGACCTGAGCTGCTGGCTGCAAGTAGCTCACTCTGCTCAGCAACAGTTAGCTGAAATGAAAGCGTACTCAAAACATTCTGTTTAGTAACAGAAACCACAGTGTAAGTCGGTGTAGAACAGCCACATGCAAATCACAGCACAGGTAACACATGTACTGCAGGGACAACTGCCATCCCAGGGATTCATGGCACGAGGTAGGACTGAAAAGGTGTTACTGAGTATCAGACAAAGCCACACCACTACCTGAGTCACTCCCTGTCTGTGCGTGCCTGACATTTGCTGCCCCAGCAATTAGCATTGCAGCTTCAAAGTGGAAGATGCTGCAGAGCTTTGCAGACATGAAGCTCTTTGCTAACAAAAACAGCAGTGGGGAAGTGTCTGAAGTGCTGAAAAGTACTTCAGAAAAGAGGGGAGAACAAACAGGACCAACCCAAGCCCAGAGTCCCCCGGAGCCAGCTGGGGCTGCTGAGGAGCAGCCCTGTCCCTACACCCCGTGCCATCCCTCACAGCTGCTGTCCTGCCTCCAGACACTGCTCCTGCTCCCCGGGATCTCCAGAGCAGGAGCTGCCAGCCCATAAACCAGAGGGTGGAACAGAGCGCAGGGTGTGCAGCTCCCGGCGCGGTTTTATCGTGGGCATTAACAGTAATGCTCATCCAGGGCTGCTCAGTCCCACTGATTGCTGGAACTCCTGCTCTGCCAACCCTGGGAACGACTGTTATCGGAGACAGGCCATTAAAATGGTTAATGGAGCAAATAAATGAGCCTGTGCAGTGTCTGCCTCCTCTGTCACTGGCTCCCAGGTACGTCGGCAGTTCCAGCGAGGTTTGTTTCCCGTGTGCTGGTACCTGTTCAGCCAGGCCGGGCCGAGGGACAGCCCTGCTCAGGGTTATCACTGCTGCTGTGTATCCCATGGCCCTGCCAGCCCCCCATGCACAGGACCCCGGGGCAGTGCTGTGCTGGAGCTGAGGCCAGTTCACTCAGACCTGCAGCCACACACTGGCAGAACCTGCTTCGTCTTTCACTTCCATGTTGATAGTTTTCTCCCCTCCCTTTGACTTCTTCGTTCTGACCTACTTCTCTCACTTTTCATATTTTATTCCTTTTTAAGAGGCTTTTGTTTTTCTCAAAATGATTTTCAGGGAAAATATGCCACCTGTGTTTATACATTTTTCAGTTCTGTTTATTCTTGCTTCTGAAGTGGCAGTGCCGTACGGAGGATTTCTATCTCATTTCCCTGTGTTATGCAATAGCATTCCTGGTTTTCTGCGCTGGCATCCTTTGAGGTTCTGATTTGGTACAAATTTGTCACGCACTCGGCAGAGCACAGATAAACCCCATCAAAGCAGGTGTTATTTTGGGCTGGAAACAAGCTCCTTCCTGCAGCAGGGACTGGGGGGAGGGAGTGGGCACAGCCCCCCCACTCTGCACCATTCCCTTCTCCAGGAGCACTTACACCAGTTGTGACACTGAAAGCTCTGTCAACGTAGCACTCACAGTCACAGGCTCCAGGTACAGGGATGTGAATAACTGTGGTTTTGGCCATGGTAGCTAGAAAAACATCCCTCTCAGGCAAATACAGAGTGTGCCTGGGGCTCTCAACAGGATTTCATAAATTATGTTGGCTCCAGTAATTATTTATTTGAAATAGGAATTTGCTGAGAGGCCTCAAGTCCTTTTAATACCACATTAATAATGTACCCACGGGTTACACAGCGAATTAAAATCCTCATCACTTATCCCGGCCAGGTGTCAGTGTCTGCCCTGAACACACAGTGGAACACACACCCAGTGCCACCACGGAAAACCCTCCTGGGACAGAGCCAGACTGGGGTGGTTAACAGCACATTACACCCCTTACTGCACAAGGAGTTCATGTTCCTGTTTGCTGTTCAGAACAGGAATCCCCACAACTCCAGCTTCTGTCCGGCTGGAGGCTTTCCCATGCGGAATCTCCTTCCAGACACAAGTCATTGGAGCTTCCCATGATGGCAAAGAGAGCAAACAAATATCCATCCATCCATCTCCATCTTTTCTCTGCCCTTCCCTGTGCCTTTCAGTCTCTCCATCCATCCACACAAACCACAGAAATCAGGAGAAATATCGGCTCATGCTACACCAAAACTATCACTTCAGTGAGGTCTGCTCCCATTCCCATTTTCCAGGGAAATCCCTGTGCCCTTTGCCCTCTGCTCCCAGCACAGCCACTGGCTCCACTGCAACAGTCCAGAGAAGCTTCTGCCCTTCAGCAGTCATGGCACGACCCTAGCACCAACCTTCTGAAGGCAGGTGAGGAAACAGTGACCCCTCTCACACAACATCCCCCCAGCCTGTTCGGGCCGAGCTGGATGCTCAGAGTTGGCCAGAGAGCTGCAGGGACACTGCAGAGCCCACACTGGCACTGCTGCTGGCACTGCCACCAGCCCTGGGAGCCGCTGGCTGCAGCTGTGCCGCTCAAGGTCAGCTGCAGAGAGCCTGGAATAGAGAACCTTCAGACGTTTTTTTTTTTTTTTTTTTTTTCCTCCCGCTGCCGTTGATGATACCCTTTTACTGGAATAACTCTCTCCTGCTGACAGATAAGCTTTTAGGATAGTGAAATCTCTGTGACACTTTAAGTGCCCTAAATGACAAAACAAGGACGTGCAAAATTACCCCTCGACTACTCCGTAAAACACAACTTGTCACCGAGTTGCTGCAGCTGCCCAGGCCCTGTGGGGCTGGGGCACCCCCACCCCCAGGACTGTCCTTGCAGCAGGAACAGCATGGGCACAGGGAGGAGAGGGGAAGGGGCAGAAAGGCCGTGGTGAGGGAGAGCCTCGTGTGCCCTGGGGATGGAGGGTCCCTCTGGCACCAGAGACCTGTCTCTGCTGCCTCCCCGCTGACGGATGGGATCCAAATGGGCA